TTCAACACAGCATGATGTTCATTTAGTAAATTATGGTCCCATTTAGAGGAACAGAGACCAGGAAGCAAGGGAGGCTTCAGGGCGGGGCTACAAGGTGATTGACAAGTCGCTACCATGGTGACCTGTCAATCAGGATAGAGGCGACTCATATCTGCTGCTCTGTGTACATTTAACCAGATTTAACCATCTTTTCCGGTATGTCCTTTGTTTTAAGCCTGTTTGTCGCTGGGCAAAAATAGCATCCCAGCTAATATCGCAGTTAAAGTGAATTACAGATGCACCTCGTCACGTCCGATTCCTGGTTGCACAAAATCAACATGGCGACGGCCTAAATAAGGTGAAAACTCTTGTGAAAGGGTCAAAGCTCTGAGAAGAAAGTGGAGTCGCCCCCTGCTGGCTGTTAGAGAGAATGACCAGTTAGAGCATCACTGTGATCCCCCGCCTGATGGTTTATTCACACTATACTTCACTTTCATCTTGCAAAGCCGACTATTATGTTATTAAATCCAAAATGCACCCATCACATATGGTTCATGTTGAAAGAAGACATGATGGTCGCTGGTCAATTTTTTAAACAGATGTGATTTCAAATGAATCCAGTTGTAATGTTGTAACTCAAGCATACTGACGCCTTTATGCCTAAAGTACTGGTGGGAAACCATGTTCCAGCCTGAGGTCATGTAAACTCTCGGGGCCTGGCCATGATGTTTCCTGTAGTGCAAACTCAACATCTGTCCCACATTAAAAGAGGGCATAGAAGGCAACGTCCCTTAACCTCTCAGAGGGCTCTGACTGCGAAACATCTGCAGGATGTGTTGAGTTTCATTAGCTTAACATCAAAATGTTCATTAAGGAGTCAAATTCAAAACATTAAAGGGGCCCAGTGGAGATACATGTTTACATTCAACACATATCACATATGGACACTTGGTCAAGACCCCTTGGCGTCACCTCTTAACGCCCTGAGTACCCCTAAGCATTTCTGGCTCTGCGGTCAAGTTAGCAATAATAAAAATGCAAATATTTTCAATATAAAAGCACTTACAACACTGTGAACATTAGATTTAGTCACCAAAAGTGCTTGGTTAGGTTTAGGAAAACATCATAGTTTTGGTTAAAATAACTACGTTACTTGCGTCACCTAAGTATGGTTACTTTTAGGGCTGACCCCGAATAGTCGAAGATTCGATGCTTCAATGGGCGGAGCCTGATTTGACTGTCAATCTCATAGTCGAAGCTTCGCAGTGAAACAAGGATCAGGCCGTTTTGGCGATATGGGGGTGCTCAACGTCTGATTTTACATAGAACCACCAGTTTTCCCCCAATAAGTTAATATACAGCCTGTTACAATATACATTTCAATGTTTAATGCTGTAAATAAACATGTAAAAAGAATAAAACTTTCAATAAATGTTTTTAAAGTGCGTCAATAAATCCAAATTGTAACCCTAACCCCGGGTCATCAGTGTGCATGTGGAAGAGACGGAGCTCCAGCTTCACTGGTGTTGTGCCGAGTTGTTCGCACCTCACGGTAATATTTTATCAATTTCAAATAGCTACTTGAAATAGACGCGGTTCCTCGCAAAACGCACAAGACCGGTGAGTAGCAGGCGAGAGAGAGAGAGAGAAAAGGGTCCTCAAAAAGCCTCAGTTTAGCTGGAAATTTAAAGTGTAAGTTGAATGACTAGAGACTGCAGCTCTGCAGCTTCTCAAGATTAAAGCGGAGCTACCGTGTGTAACACCCCCCCACCCCCTGCTCGCAATCGCCGCACACAAAAACACACATGATTCGACTACAGGCAGGACTTGACGATTCTGATTCGACTATATAAATCCTTAGTCGGGGACAGCCCTAGTTACTTCTGTAATTTACGCATCTTACATAACTTAAGTGACATTCAATTTTGAATGGTTGAAAGTCCGGTTTCTGGCCCATCCGTTCACTCCAACCACCTCCTTACTATAGATTTTCTGATAAATATGCCAAACCTACTTTTAAATTCCAAATGTGATGACTTGGGAGTGAAAACAGGTTGTTATATTATATTCAGTGTCAACATAGTCAAGGTATCGTGATATATTACAAAGTGCGGTTCTGTCCTATTATATCATTTCAGGCCCTTTTCATCCTCTCACACTTAAGCACTTACCAGGTGATGTCAACTAAGTCTGTGAGGGTTCAGGGTTTAGGGTGGAAATTGGGATTGGGCCTTAGTCTCCTTCGTCCTCCTGCCTGTGACCTGGAAATGAATCTCAGCGTGCCATCTTGAAGGAGGTCTCACTTCCTAAAATGCATCTTGAGGAAAGAGAGGGCTTATCGGAGGAGCTACGAGCGAGGATGCACAGGTGTGTCCTTTGTGGAAGTCTTTTCATCACCTGTGACGAATAAAAGGGGGGTATACAACCCACGGCGGCAGCAGGACTCTGTATTCATTCACCTCGATATGACTGATGTTTTTTATCACTGCAGGTAGGCGACACCCGATTCATCTGCTATAATCCTGACTGGTTTACAAGTGCAAATAGCTGCTGGTGTCAAATTATTATATCAAGAAGAACATTCTCTTCATTCAGCACTAATTTCTGTATTTCATGTTGTCATATGGAAATCAAATGCCCATTGTGTAGTTTGCACATCATTACAAAAGTACAGTCCTGTCTGTGCTGTATGCATGTGTGTGTGTTTAATTAAAAGTAAATATATTAGTTGTCATGAACAGTGTTAAGCTCGTCTGACAGAGGTCATAAAATACAGCGGTAGGCTTTAACAACACAATGCACGGATGATGCTGCTGTGCCAGACGTCATTTTTAATTCACATTGCTTTAAAATTACTGCTTCAAAGCAAGAATGCCTCATTTCATCAAATGCCTGCTGCCCCGATTCCTCGATTCCTCGTGTCTCGGGAGGGAGGGACTAAGACTTGAAGAGAGGAGGCGAGAAGGCACAAACTGACAAATGAGAAAGGGCTAAAACTCCATAGCTCCCCAGAGACCCTTTAATGTGTTGATCACTAAAACGATAAAATCATTCCCCGGAAACTGAAAGCTGGCATCAAGGAGGCAAAGCGGAGACATCAGCAGAGACTGGAGAGAGACCTCAACACCAAAGATATGTGGCAGGCCATCAAGAACATCACCGGCTACAAAAGCAGGAGCTCCCCCATCATGTGTGAGGCCACAGTACCTGATGAGCTCAACACCCTTTTATGCTCGCTTTGATCTCCTCAACAAGGAGTCAGATGGAAAGTCTGCTCCACCTCCAGAGGACCGGCCACTGTCAGTATGCTGAGAGTGAATATGAGTAAAGCTGCTGGGCCTGATAACATCCCTGGCTGTGTACTAAAAACCTGTGCCAATCAGCTAGTTGATGTTATTACTGACATTTTCAACATCTCACTGTCTCAGGAGAGGGTTCCCTCCTGCTTCAAGACAGCCACCATCGTTCCTGTACCTAAAAAGTCTGCAGTGTCTGGTCTGAACGACTGCTGCCCTGTGGCTCTCAACCCCATTCGGATGAAGTGCTTTGAGAAACTGGTTCTTCAGCACATAAAGAACAACATCCCAGCCAGCCTGGACCCTCACCAGTTTGCTTTCAGAACCAACAGATCCACAGAGGATGATATCTCCACTCAGCCCTCACACACCTTGGGAAAAATAACACCTACATCAGAATGCTGTTTGTAGATTTCAGCTCAGCATTCAACGTAAATCTCCTCATGAAGCTGATCAGCAAACTCAGGACTCTGGGTTTAAACACTCTGCAACTGGATACTGGACTTCCTCACAAACAGACCCCAGTCAGTTCAGATTGGCGGACTCACCTCCCCAGGGCTGTGTGGTCAGCCCCCTCCTGTTCACGCTGTACACCCACGACTGCATCCCCCGACATGAAGAGAACTCTATTGTGAAGTTTGCGGACGACACCACCATCACCTGCCAGATTTCAAACAACGACGAAATTGATAATCTTGCAGAGTGGTGCTCAGAGAACAACCTACTGCTCAACGTCAGCAAAACCAAGGAGCTGATCTTTGATTTCAGGAAGAAAGAGATAAAGACACACACTCCTGTCTGCATCAGTGGAGCTGAGGCGGAGCAGGTGAACAAAGCTCAGAAATACCAGTATTTCTTGAGGAAGCTTAAAAAGGCCAAATTCCCAAGTTCTTGTCAGTTTTTACAGAGGAGCAATAGAAAGCATCCTGACTGGAAACTTTACTGACATGGGATGTGCTCGGCTCAGGAACGGAGGGCTCTGCAGCGGGTGATTCAAACTGCTCAGAAGATCATTGGTACCCATCTCCCGAGCATCAGTGATATCGGTGAGGTGAGGTGCCTACGCAGAGCCCAAAGGTACCCACCCAACCACAGCCTGTTCACCCTGCTGCCTTCTGGGAAGAGAAGTTTCTGCTGCCGCACCACCAGCCTGCAGAGCAGCTTTTCCCCCCAGTCTATCAGACTCTTAAACTCTAATTCATCCTCAGCACTGCTCCAGTGATGATAGTTTATTTCTGTTTACCATTTTTCATAATTGATTCGTATTAATTAATTAATCTGCTATGTAGCAGAAGGGAGTTACAAAACTTAATTTCCCTCTATAGCCTGTTATATTCTGACAACAAACCTACCGACCTTAAGTTCTTACACTATAGAGCTGCTTCAGGCATCGTCACGTTGAAACAGGAAAGAGACAAAATGATGACGCAAAACGTTGGAAGCACGCTTTTATCTAAAATATCTTGTGGCTTTAAGATTTTCCCCTCGCTGGAACAAGGAGGCCCAAAGTTTGTTGACTATTTTAAATACATCTAAAATGGATTTCGGACATGCAGTTCAACAAAATCTCAACCTCATGGTCCATTTAGTAGCTGTTCTGGAGCTTTGATAATATGCCACTTTCAAACATGGAGAAGAAATAACAGCTGGACAAACACCATCCGCTGAGGAAGATCATGTGATATGATCAAAAGCGCCAGAAGAATCACTAAATAGACGCTGAGGTGAGATTGTTTTGTAAGCAATTTAATATAAGTCAAAATAAAGAGCAGCAGCAGGCAGCCACAACAAGTCAACATTTATTTGTATCGACAAAAAAAGCTTTAGTGCTCGACTTGGTTGCATAAAAATTACAAAACACAAAAACAGAACCTTTATTTGTCCAGTGACTCTTTCTCTCACACTCATCAGGTAGGAATGCTGGTCTGTGCACACACACCTGAAAGCAGCCAAAGATAACATCAAACCAGACCAGGAGACAGATCATCAGGCTACAGTCTCAAGCTGTGCTGCGACCAACATCAGCTCTTCATCAGGTGCATAAAAGAAACATATTGACAGACACGTTTCAACATTTCTAATACCATACAAAAAAATAGGTTAAAAAAGCTTCATTTTGCTGCATCCCAATAAAATTTCCAGTTTCCACCTTAGCCCCGCCCTGATTTTGATGTCACAGCACACCCAAGCGATGCTGTGACATCACTTTGACATCAAACTCCTTTGACTACCCCAACAGATTAAATATTAGCGAATGTAATTACTGTTTGACGTCTGTTTTTATTTTTACATCAACTTTTCAAAAGTGTTGCAGGTTAAAAACTGTCATTTAGATAGAAAAGCATCATTAGTGGTATTTAATCTGCCATCACAACAATACAAAATATTAACTGTGTCATGTAAACCCTGCAAAGCCTAATTTAACTTTAACATGAGTTGATGTTTTAATGGTGTTGAACATAGATGATGTAGCTACTATTTAAATTAGATCCTAACTTATAGTTTTCCCACTACAAAACCAAAGCATATAAGAGCTATTCTTGTGTCGTTACTGTAGTTTTCAAGTGAAACTAGACTGATTTTGATTTTGCGAATAGGCTGCTGTGTGTTTGAGGGGGAAAATGGTGCAAAAAGTTTAAATAAGGGTCCAGAAATCCCCTCTGATCAACAGGTTTTGTGCAGCTGGAGGCAGTGTAGCAGCAGTAAATCCTCCTGCATCACTCAGACTCAGCTGACTTGCAGGATTTTGGTATTAGCAGCCTGACTTTGTAATTGAATCCCTGAGAATATGAAGCATAGACAGTAAACACAAGGCCTTGCCACTGATCACTGAAGCAAGCTGTAGCTGCTGGGTACATTGAGGTGCACATTCTGAAACCTATTGTGTTTTAAAGAGCACACTGACACCAGCTTTACAGTATTTTAAGCCAAACTCCCTTTACATTTCATGTAATTTAATACTCAAATGTGTGGACATACATGTGAGTTAATAATCTGGACAGTGACTGATGAGAGAGGAATGATGTTCATGTGATAAATAATGACCATATGAACATATGATTGGGAACTCTGGTTCTCCCTGATATGGTTTCCATAGAGATTCTTCCTTTTGGGCTCTGTTGGCAGGCAGACTGAGGCAGGAGCGGATCCAGTTGATGTTCAAAAAGTTTACATTCAGCAGCATCGGGCCGTGCGCGGTGAGGATTAGGACGCAGAGGACTTTTTCTCCTTCTGGCGGAGGTGAATCTTCATGTGCCTCCTCCTCTCGTCACTCCGGGCGAACTTTCTCCCGCACTGGTCGCAGGAGAAGGGTTTCTCTCCGGTGTGCGTGCGGATGTGGGTGGTGAGGTGGTCGCTGCGGCTGAAGTTCCTCATGCAGATGCGGCACTGGAAGGGTTTGTGGCCGGTGTGGATGCGCAGGTGACGGCTCAGCTCGTCCGACCTGGAGAACCGGCGGTCGCAGCTCTCCGCCGGGCACGGATACGGTCTCTGGTGGACGGGCGTCTTGCTCGGACGGTTCGGGTACTTCCTGGGTCTCAAGATCGGCCTGAGAGGGAGGTTCTGGTGGCTCGGGAAAGCGGCGGCCATTGGACCCTCGACGCCTGGCGAGGGCGCGCCGAGCGTAAAGTTTCTGATGGTGTTGAGAGGGGTGAGAGGCGGGGGCACCCTGAGGGAGTCTAGCGGGTACGGGAGGGATTTCCTCTCGGGGAAAGACGTCTGGATATCTCTCTGGCAGCTCTGCTGGTAGAAGCCTCCGTACTCAGGCATGATGGACAGCAGCGCGGCGCCGTCTACTGTCGGTTTGGGCACAGAGTTGTAGGACGGAGACGGGTGGTAGGACACGGCACAGGTGGACGTCGCCAGGTAGCCCCCTGCCGACTGGTCTTGGTACATGTCCCCGCTGCAGGAATAGGAAGGGTGAGGCTGGGAGTGAGGGTGAGGGGGCGCGTACATGTGACCGAGGTCCGGATGACCGTGCGCCATGGTGCCGTCCCCCGCCTCCGCTGCGTCTCCTCCTCCTGCGTAAATCTCGGGTGATTCTGACTGCGATCCAGGCAACGTGACCGGTCCCGGGGTGGCGATGTCAGCGCTGACCACGTTGATAACGTCCCCCGGTGTCCACGGTCCTCTTGCGCTTCTGGAGTCCACCGAGAACTTGCCGCTAAACGCCACAGGCTGCGTGCGTAATGTTGCTACGTACTGCGCCAAGTCGCCGTGGAGAAGCAGCCCAGGTGCGATTCTCTCCTCGAACAGAAGGTCACCTGAAAACAAGGAGATGTACACTCGGTTAGAATGAAAACAAAGGATCATATTAACCTTTTCATCTTATGGCAGCACTTAACGACGATTGATTGACTTCATCACCTCATTAGAACATTTCTGGAGCAACCAAAGTCAGAATGTTGCACTTTCACTCAAACCTCTATATTTACCTACAAATGACAAAATCTTACCGCTTTCACTCTCATCGGGTTTCCCTTCATGCTCTTCCTCCCCTACCGCCTCCTCTTTAAAAACAATCCCCTCTGCCCTGTACACATCTTTAGGAATACTATCTACAATACTGCTAAGGGACACGGCATCAACTACTTTAGCAGCCATTCTGTCTTTTGAAGTGGAGATCTGCCGATTTAAACTAATATCCAAGTCACTGTCTCCAGTTTTCTGCCTCACCGACTCTCAAACATTATAAATATTTCCCCGCATTTTCTCTGTTCCGCCTCTCACCTCCTGCACGGTGCAGTATGGTTATAAAGGGGATCTCTGGGTGTCCCGTTACGTCATTCACCAAATATGGACTTGGGGGTTTTTTTAAAGAGGGAACTCCAGAAATAGGGCTGGTGAAACTCACAGTGTAGGAACGTGGAAACAATTAAAAATTAGGATGTTGGCGTTGAACGACAATACAAGTAAAAAAAAAAACTGGATCTGAATTTGGGGGATTTTATTTTAACATTTATCAGAAACATCAGCTTCATGCTGATCTCAGACTCGTCTATAAAACGGGGCACAAAGCTCCATCTTTCGGAATTCCGGTGACACTTTCTCCATAAATGGATTCTCCGGTGAGGTGAGAGGATCTCGGTCAGCTTATATGGCTGGTATCCGGATAAAACTGCGTTGCATTGTGTTGTCTTTGTGCCAGCCGAGCCCACACACTGACTGCACGGACCCGTTTGTTTTCTCTCTTGCCTTGTCAGGAACAGATTATTGCTCTGACTGAGTCTTGCTATTGTCGGCCCTTTCAGATAGATGGGGTGATTAGTGAGAGAGTTAACTCTTTTATTTGTATTTCCGTGGGAAGCTGGCTGGTCTTGATGGTGTCTCTTGTTAAAAAATGCGTTTATAAAGTTTATGTGAAGAGGCAACCACAGGATATGTTGCTGATAGAGAGATAACCTGCAGCTGCAAATATTTCTGTATTCTGACGCTGGTCCTTACTTTTAGAGCCTTGCAGGGACAGTAATTCTAGTAATACTAATACTAATAATAATAATACATTTGATTTATTTAGTGCTTTATGAGGTCCGCAAATGCACTTTAAAGGTAAAAAAAAGACAAAACAAGATCAGCATAAAAAACATGATAATTAATTAATTAATTAACAATTAATGTACAATACTATGCTGCAATTCTGCTGTTATTTATTCGCCCTTACTTATTTCTTTAATAATGTAAATATTGTACATATCTATGCTCCTTTATATTTGTCTTTATATTTTTTTTACCTTATATTTATGTATTTCATTATCTACCTTCTTTCTATCATTATTTCCTTGCCTTGATGTGCAATGTGTGCAACTGTAACGCAGGAATTTCCCCTCTGGGATCAATATTTCTGATTCTGATAACAATTAAAGATAACTATTAAAAGACTATGAAAGCAAAACAGCATTAAAACTGGACAGAAACAAAAAGACAACAAGCAGCTTTAAACAGATGGGTTTTGAAATTTGCAATGCGAGGTGATGAGGGAGAAGTTCCAGAGGGAGGGGGCGGCAATGAAGAAGGTCGTGTCCCCCCAGGTTTGGTACTTGGGGAGGGTGAGAGGGGAAAAGAGGTTGGCGTCTGTGGATCAGAGGTTGGGAGTATGACGAGGTTGAGAGCTTTGTAGTGGACGAGGAGGATTTTAAACTGGGTTCTGTGTTGGATAAGGAGCCTGTGGAGGACTGGAGTGATGTGGTCTCTGGTGCTGGAGTGAGTGAGTAGACGGGCTGCTGAGTTTTGGATGTTTAGAAGTAATTTTGAGGGATCTGGTGGGTGTGATGTTGCAGAAGTCCAGTCGTGAGGTGATGAATGCGTGGGTGTTTCAGCAGCTGAGAAGAGAAAGGAGGGACGAAGACTGGCAAAGTTTTTGAGATGGAAGTGTGCAGATTTTGTTACATCATTGATGTGGTGTTTGAAGGAGAGGCTTGTGATTAAAGATTACGCCGAGGTTGCGGATGTTTGTGGATTCTTAAACAGTAGAAGCATCGATGCGTAGGAAGAAAGTTTTGGCAGGATTTGATCGTTGTTGAGTTTGAGAAAGTTTATTTGCATCCATGCTTTTGTTTCTGAGAGGCAGATTGTGTGGGTGGAGTAAGTGGCAGCAGTGATGGATTTGGTGGAGATGTAGAGCTGGGTGTCATCGGCATAACATATGATGTGAACAAGGAGGACAAGCTCTCTTTACACTTGTGACTTGATACAACCTCATTCTTATTGGTCATCAGGTTAGAGGCTGTTTGTGGTTCCTCACACTTCTTTTAAGACCAGAGGAGATCGATCATTTCATGCAGGGACACCTAAATTCTGGTGATTCTTTTAAAAAGCAATTAAAGACTCAAACAGGCTTTTAGTCAGACGAGTTGACGGTTTTATGACCATCTGAATGATATTTTTTATGTATTTTTACGTTTTTATGTATTGTATCTCACTTAATTATGAGGCACTTTGTGATTTTTATCTGCGATATATGCTAAAAAATGTTTTTTATTTACTTTCTTACTACAAAAGACGCTGTGCTTTTTAACATAAAATCCGTTGAAGACACAGTGCCCTGCCCTACTAATATGGTTTCTGCCGCACTCACACGTATGTTGTTTTCCTCTGAACAGAGATCTCTAACAGCAACCATCTCCATCCATCCATCGTCAACCGCTTATCCTGCGTACAGGGTTGCGGGGGGCTGGAAGGATACACCCTGGACAGGTCGCCAGTCCATCGCAGGGCCACACATAGACAAACAACCAGTCACACTCACACCTAAGGACAATTTAGGGTCACCAATCAGGCCGCTTGACTTTGGACGGTGGGAGGAAGCCGGAGCACCTGGAGAGAATCCACGTAGTCACGCGGAGAACATGCAAACAAAGGCCAGGACAACCGGGGTTTGAACCCTGGAACGTCTTGCTGTGAGGCAACAGTGCTATCCACTATTCCACCGTGCTGCCCACAATCTACTTATTAAAATGAAATTAATAATAAAAACAGCTTCCCCGTTGGGTAGATCTGACTTCCCTGTTCTAAAACACACAAACTTTTTTTTTAACAATGTTTTTGTGGTGTTATCTACGTTTTTGAGGGTTAAATAGGTCAAACGTTCTGATTCACTCCTCTACAAAAGAAACATACATTTTTCTTATCAGTCCTTTCTAAAATCAGAAATTGCTCATTCCCACCAATGCAGTTTCATTATACCTGCTCTTACTTCCATGGTCACGGGACAAGTAGAGTGGAAGCCCAAAGCAATGAAACACAAAAGACAAGTTACCAATTCAGCTAACACGGTTCAGTTCATCAGGAAGCTACTGCTAATTTAACTCTCCACAGATCAGCTGTCAGACAAGAGAACAGGCTAGTATTTGTCATCGACCTCCTGCACATCTGAAGCTTTTTCAAAGACACAGGGTTTCTGTTCGATACAGAAACAGGCTCTCTTTGTAAATTTGGAGACTTATTTAAAAATAAGACGCTTGGATTTATCCAGATGGAGTGATATGCTCAGGTGTTGCAGACGGATCTTAGAGGAAATTTTAACTTTGGACAAGAATCAATGTCATGATTTTCTTATAATATGTACAAAAAGGAGTGGAGCGTTTGAACTCACTGCTGGTTTCATACTTTATTATTCCTCTGGTTGACCGTTTGTGGTGGTAATGTGCGAAGAAAGATAGCAGGGTACCAACAAATGCGAGGAAGAATATTTAATATTTTACTTTAAACATGTTTGTCGACACTGAAGAAGGTCCAGGGTTCAAACCTTGGTCGTCTGTGTGGAGTTTGCATGTTCTCCCCGTGTCTGTATGGGCTTCCTCCAACCGTCCAAAGACACGCAGTCTAATAGGTGAATTGGTGACTCTAAATTGCCCTAAGGTGTGATTTTGAGTGTGAGTGGTTTTTTGTTTCTATGCCGTGTGATGAACTAGCGACCTGTCCAAGATTTACCGTGCATCTTGACCCAATGTCAGCTCTGATTGGCTCCAGTCCCCCTTGTTACCCTGCACTGATAAACGGGTGTAGATGATGGATGGATGTTTGTCAGACCTCAAGGAGAGACATGATGTGTTTTGGTGAGAAACAGTTAATGTAAACAGTAACTGTTCATGTTTGTTTGTCAGGAAACTCCCCAGAGCCTTTTTAATGTTGGTCACCGCCACCAGTTTCCAGGAAAAACGCCCAAAATGAATCAGTAATATCTCCTCAACCATTAGGCCTAGATGCATAATTCTGGTCTCTTTTAAAAGGTCAGAAGCTAAGGAATATAAATCCATTAAATTAACACATTTATTTTTACCATTACAGACTATGTGGAGATGCAATAATGAAAAATATGATATTTTTCATCCTCACCTGGTAAAAAAAGCTATATTTTTAATGCAATAAACCATCAAAGGCATCATAAGATTATAATGCAACTGAAAATCTTCTAATATACCTGGAATGCAATTGTAACAGTACATTAGATGAATATAAACTATAATACAACAGTTATCATACAATATCTTCAAAATATACCAGGCGAATGTCCATATTTTGGCAACATTTACTGTTTAAATGTTGACTTTTATTGGGAGTTATCTTTAAAACACTATTTATGTCCAAAACGGCGATAACGGCAAAAGTAAGCCAGCGGTTTTAAAGATTGCGTTCTGTTCAACAGGTTTTAAAAGAGTAACCTACTGCATCGTTTCACTCACGATGGATCAAAACCGAAGCAGCAGAACCAGACACACATTCTTCAGTTTATAAAACCTGGTGCCTTCATTGCCCATAATGCAACTCAACCGCCCACAGTTTGGTATGAGATCCAGGTGTGTTATGCTAGTAGCAGCTAACGCAGCGTAGAGGTCTGGTGAGCTCACGTTCACTTTCTATTTCTTTCAGTTTCAAACTCTTCGGCCCCGACCGACGCTGACTCAAGTGACATCACTCGAGGACATGTATCAGATCACACAGCTCCTTTAAAACGGACGCAGTCATACTCTCCAACACCTGGAAACACTCAATGATGTCTGAGTGCTCATGCAGATGTTCATGGTTCCCAGAGGATCAATCTTAAGGATTGTATTGTCTTTGAATTTATGAGACTCTCCTGCAGCACGTTATTACCACCCATATTTACATTTCTTTCTACCGGCCATGCAAGCGTGGCAAAGGAGGAAGTCGGGTGACGTATTATATTATATAAATAGGCAGAAAGTCCACATAAGGAGGACAAACCCCGGACTTACACTCAGGAGACCAAGTAAATGTTCGGTTATATTGAGTTTTACCTTTTACCTAGTTTTGCTTATGTAACGGCCACACAACACCCACTTTAACCCAA